GAAAAAAATCTTAGGTATGTACCTTTCTAATTATGCTCTTTCATTTGTTGAATTATTCTCCTAAGTGTAAGGAAGAGAAGAAAAATCAATTAGCGAAACTTGTATTATCTTTCCTTTTTATACTCATTTCTTGCTTTTACTGGCCGTTTCAAATAAACATACAAATACAATACATGTATAAGCTTATAATTTAATAAGAAAACAAAATTATGTCAATCTTAATTCCAGTGGTGGCCTAAGCACGAGTGGGTGAAGCAACCGTCATAGCCTCATTTGTAAGACCCGCAAGCTCTTCTTCTTCCTCCTTCCCCTCAACACTCTTATTTTCTCCTCATTCCCTATTCTCTCATTTCAACTTTCTGAGTTTCCTTGTGGTATTCAAGGTGCTGCGTAGAAGTATGGGTAGCTAGTCGGAAGCGTAGACCTTCTTCTTCTTCTTCCTCTCCCCGAAGCTCAGATTCTACTTCTCTAAGATGAGGGAAGCTAGATTGTAAACTCGTTGGTTGTGGGTGAGTTTAAGAACTCATTTGGAGTAACAATTGTTGAGAATCATTGATTGATTTGAAGAGTTTCTCGTTTTCGGAGTTTCGAGAAAATTGGGAAATTTGGTGATTTTTGATGCGTTTGATGGTTGCATGTTGAAATTGAAGTTGTTTTTGAGTTGTATAATGTAAATGCATTTCAGTTTTTGGATTGCATGTGTTTGAGTTGGCTGATTTTCAGGTTTTTGAAGAAAATTTTGAAGTTTTGGGGTTGACTGTTTGAAGTTGCGTCGGGCCCAGTTCTTTGCATTGGGCGTGCATTCATTAGGGACTACCATGTTCCAATCACGTCAGGTGCTATTGAGACTAGGGTGTCTCTGGATGAATCGTGTCGAGCGTGAGAAGAACCACGCTGGGCGTGATATCAGATGTTTATCTTACAAATTTGGTAACCGATAAGGCGCCAGGCGTGCTCTGAGCATGCCAGGCGTAGAGAGTCCTTGGGGGTCTCTGCCTGGGATGGCACTAGGCGCATAATGAACGTGTCAGGTGTGAGACCCTGGTGAGATCTTTGCCTTTTTTGCGCCGAGCGCGAGTTTGGCACGCCAGGCTTGGGTGACTCTTGGAAGTCTCTACCTACCAACACACTAGACGTGATGATGATACGCCAGGTGTGATGATGATACGCCGAGATTGGGAGAGCTTTAGAGCTCTCGGGTTGCGTTCAGGTCGGCGCGAGTTTACTTGCGTCGGGCGTGAAGGTGTTTGATTCTATGCTTAAGAAAATGTTAAATATTGTGATATGATGAGAAGATGTAGTTGTGTGTTGAATCATGGTTGTGTTTATGTGAAGAAATACTGTATGTATGTTTGGGATAAGTTGCTTTGTTGCTAAAACATGTTGTTAATGTTGAGCTGATTACGTTGTTTAAGTTGAAAGTTGATTGAGATGATGAGTTGAAAAGTTGTGTGTTGTTTAAAGTTGTTGAGCTTAGCTGTGTTGTTGAGTTGTAAGATGATTCAGTTGTGATGATAAGTTGTTGATCACTAGGACTAAAGGAGATGTTTTCAAAGGTGCTCATCCCATTGTGCGGATTGAGATAGTTGTGGTGCTTTGAGAGCCCAATTTATTGAAAACCCTCCTTGGGAAGTTGTCCCTTAGAGTGGACGTTGTGTTGTCCTCCTCTAGGACTTAGTTGGTCCCGTGTGTGGGCAAGGTCAAAGCATACGTGTACAAAGTGACCATGGTATAGGGGCCAGGTCGAGCTATACCAATTACAAGCAGCCAATTCGAGTAAAGTACGAAGTCGGGAACTTAGTTCCTAACCGAGTATCGGAGGGTTGTAGTATTTGGAGGCTAGTCGGTAGGCTAATCCCACAGGTGGCTTAGTTGAGCTAGCTAATGTCGTGGTAGGCCTAAACCCAGCTGTTCTATCCTGACATAGTATTATACTTCCTTGTTTGAGTGACAAAGTCTGAGAAATCGTGAAGTTGTGGATTGATATCCAAATTTGTTGTTTACCTAGCAAGCCCAAAAAAGTTTTGTGTTGTCAGTTCGGTAGGACCTAGCCACTTAGACTGCTCACCCATGTTGTAGGAGATCTCCGAGTTGAATTGCGTGACGATGCATAAGTTGTTGATGAGTTGAATTGATGTTGATATGAGTTGTATATATATTGTTGTGTGGTGAAGCTGTGATTCAGTTGGGTGTTGTTATGTGTTGAACGTTGAACTGTTGAAATTGTTGTTCTGTTGTTAAAGTTGTAAGTTGTCTATATCTATATGTTGATTATTTTCACTTGTTTACCTTTGCATGTTTCTATGTGGTTTGGACTGCAATAATCATACTATGTATGGAATCAGAGCAAGGATAGGCTGGAGAGCAGTAGCAGTGTCACAGGTGGTGACAAGAGCTGATTTTATGTAGGCTAGCTCGGTGTAGCATTTTGTTAGTATTAGATACTTGGACTTGTTGAGCCTCAGGCTGGATATATGTATATACTCTTTTATGTATGCATATTCTACTTCTGTGTGGAGTTGTTCTGTAGTGTGACAGCCAGACTGGTCGTTACACCATTGGAAGAACATAAATTTTTTTTATTTAGTTTTAAAATTTTATATAATTAAATTATATTAAAAAAACGTATTATAGAAAATAAATTAATTGTGAATAATTAATCAATAATTATTTTCTTATTTCAACAAAAATATATCCATAATTTTAGAAAAATAAATTAGTAATGTTAGTAAAAAGAAAAGTGTGACATATATATTATTGACTTTTTATTATTTTTTATTCTCTCAATGTACTTTCATACGTGTTAATATAAAATTTAAATAATAATTATCTTTATTTTCTCTTTTTTCCTTTATTTATAACTTATTTAATTATGTTTCTATTTTTTAAATTGTCACATATCTTGTTTTATTGAAAACTTAAATCGAATGGTGAATCTCCTCCTTTATATTGTGAATTTCTTTGTGATATGTCACTATTATTGATTTATGTTTTCAACCTGTAGTAGTTTTTAATTAGGACAACTAGTCTCATACAAATTCTTTGTATGTTTAGTAATTCTTTTAACAATTGAGTCTTTAATTGTTTGTTTTATACTTTTAAATTTAAAAATTAGAATTATACAAAAATTATAGAGCATATTTTTTTCGCTTCGACCAAGAAAAAAAAACTCCGACCGTACGTGCTTAATTCCAAGAAGCTACTAATGGGTAACAATGAGTAGAATTAAAATTGTATTTTACAGTTATGTAACAATAAGTTTATAAAGTTTTATTATATTATTTGATAAATATTTCCCTAAATCATAGGAAAAAAATCTCTATTTGTTGAGTTTTCAACTGAGTCGTAGGAAAAATATCTTTTAACAAGACCCATATAACATATTTTCTACACTCACTTTTTTACTTTTACCATGTAAAATAAATATGTAATATGTGCAAATCATTACACTATGACAAGCAAATAAAAACACGTCATAACCTCAGTTCCATGTTGAACCGTCCCGGTCGTTATCCGACTGGTATCTCATATACGCACGAGGCTGACTACAAACGCGTGTACTATCCAAGTCGGATTCCGATCTGATCTCTTCCCATATGGTCACCCAACTGTAAAGTTGATCGACTCACTCTCTCAGAGTGAGTCGGCATATAGCCGACTGGTTTCTTTGTCTAAGCCATATCGGCCTCATTCCAATCTCTCTTGCCTATAAGGACCCTCTCGGCCAACACCCAATTAGATCCTCAGAACGGACCTAGTCGGTCAAGACCCGACTTAACATTCCCGTGCTTGTCAAATATCTTTGAAATAAGAACGGTTAATGAGATCCCCAAATTCTCGGGGCCCAGGAGGCCCACGAACTAGAAACTATAAAACCTAAAACCCTAGAGTTAAGAGGGCAGATTACACTTTTGAATGCTCTGGCTTTGAGGCTTGACCTAGGAAGAAACCCTAGTCCACCCTTTGGTCGGAACATTTTGGCGCCCACCGTGGGGCTACGGTAAAACTTCTCCTGCACCCCAAGTAATACAAAAGAACCTGCACTTTACTATGGCGAGAGGCGGCAACCCAAACCACGACCCACAACACCCTACCATGGAGGAGATGATGGCCATGATCAATGGCTTAAGAGAAGAGAATGCACAATCCAGGGAGAGAGAGGAGGCTATTCAACGCGAAAACGAGGAGATTAGGAGGCGAGCGGATGAGATGCAGGTCAGAATAGCGGCCAATACCAGGACGGTGGAGGAAGATGTCATGATGGAAGTCCCTAGGGATTTTTGACCATTCTCGGAAGCCATAGAGGCCGAGACCATCCCGAGGGATCATCGGGTTCCCCAAGTTGAACCCTTTGATGGAACCCAAGATCCTAGTCAGCACTTGACAGATTTCCGAGCACAAATGCTGATTTGTGGTGGGAGCATGGAAATTCGCTGCAAGTTGTTCATGGGCACGCTCAAAAAAGCAGCCCTTGACTGGTTTAGTGGTCTTCCCGACCGGTCAATCACCGATTTCGACGTCTTCAGCCGGCTGTTCATGGCACAGTTCGCCGCTAACAAGAAGAAACCACCAATCACGTCGGACTTGTTCGACCTCAAGCAGCAACGCGAGGAGCCGTTGAAGGACTTCTTGCAAAGGTTCAATGAGGTCGCCTTGAGAATAGCGTCCTTGGATGAAAGGATGGCAATCATCGCGTTCCAGAAGGGTTTAAGGTCAGGAGCTTTCGAAATCGCGCTGGAGAAAGTGAATTGTCAAACGATGTCGGAGGTGAGGGCTTTCGCCCTAAGTCACATCAAGACGAAGGAAGGACAAATTAACAAAAGGGCAGCAGAAAGCCGAGAGGCAGGGGGCAGCAATAAGGAGGACAATAAGCACCTCCGGGTACGCTCGGATTGGAATAAGCGACGTGATCACTATAATGCGAAGGAGGGGAATCGTAGGCAGACGGATTATGGTGGTCGGGCGAAGGACGAGTGGGCGCGAAACAATGAACAGGAAAAGATCACCCCACTCAACGTCCCTAGGAGGCACATACTCCATGACGTCAACAACGCGTCACTTTTTGAGTTCCCGGCCGCGACTGATCGTCAGTTGGGTCCTTACAAAACTGACTGGTGTGAATTTCATCGGACCCATGGACACACAACGGAGAATTGCTTCGTTCTCGGTAGACAAATTGAGCGTCTTATCATGGAGGGTCGTTTGAAGAAGTTCATTGCATGTAAGGATGATGAAGGCTCATCCGACAGACGACGCAGACATGAAGGGGAAGATATGAGAAGAGGAAGACGCAAAGGGAGGTCTCCTCCGAGAGATGTTCTAGAGAAAAGTTCAGAGACTCACCAACAGGCTGTCCATGGAGATTTTAACACCATAGCGGGGGGATTTTCTGGAGGAGGTCTAACATCAGCAGCACGGAAGAGATACTCTCACTCGGTGTTATTGGTCTCAGATTGGGTGAGACCCACTCGGCCAACCATCACTTTCTCGGATTCCGACTTTGAAGGGGTGTCTCCCCATGAGGACGACCCTATTGTCGTTTCAGCAATCGTCATGGGCTACAATGTAAAACGAGTGTTGGTAGACCAAGGCAGCTCGGCAGACATCATGTTTTGGGAGGCTTTTGTCGGAATGAAAATTCCGACTGATTTGCCTTATGCCATATGCAGGTACGTTAGTTGGTTTTGCAGGTGATCAGGTAATGGCCAGGGGGTACGCCAACTTGGAGATAACGTTTGGGAAGGCAGACCAGATGAAGACTATCACTGTTCGATACCTGGTGGTGAACGCCCAGTCGTCCTACAGCATACTATTCGGTCGTTCCACGTTGAATAAGTTGGGTGCGGTCATCTCCACACCCCACTTGAAATTGAAGTATCCTTTGCCTAGCGGAAAGGTCGGGGTCCTCTGTGTGGATCAGGAAGTCGCAAGAAAGTGTTACGAGGATAGCCTGAGGGCGATGAGGCATCTGTATGTGACACAGGTGGATCGAGGTGTCCAATCCATTGAGTTGGATCCGAGGGTGATTCATTTTGATTCCAGACCAGCACCGGCGGAAGACGTGAAGGAAGTTAGCCTGGCTGAAGGGAAGACAGTCAAGATTAGCGTGTCCTTAGCTAAAGGAGACGAGGAGGGGTTGATGGTCGTGTTGAAAAATAACATATCAGCCTTTGCGTGGAGTGCCAGTGACATGCCGAGTATTGATTCGGATTTCCTATGTCACCACCTTATGGTTGACCCCAGGGCGAAGCCTGTGATCCAAAAAAGGCGAAAATTCGGAGAAGATAAAAGGAAAGCTATAACTGAGGAGACGAAGAAATTGATGACGGCCGGTCACATTCAAGAAATCCAATACCCGACGTGGCTGGCGAATGTGGTAATGGTACGAAAGAGCAATGGAAACTAGAGGATGTGCATAGACTTTACTGACCTAAACAAAGCTTGTCCAAAAGACTCGTACCCGCTGCCCAACATAGATTGCCTAGTAGACAATGCGTCGGGGTACGAGTTGCTGAGCTTCATGGACGCATACTCGGGTTACAACCAGATCAGAATGCATCCTGCCAATGAGGACAAAACGGCCTTCATAGCCGATCAGGCCACTTACTGTTACAAGGTCATGCCTTTCGGCCTGAAGAACGCGGGAGCGACGTACCAGCGGCTTATGGATAAAGTCTTGGCAGATCAGCTTGGAAGAAACGTGGAGGCATACGTAGACGACATGGTGGTCAAGTCGACCAGCGTCTCTCAGAATTTCGCCAACTTGCAAGAATCATTCGACACTCTTGCGCGTTACCAACTCAAGTTGAACCCTGCAAAGTGTTCTTTCGGCGTCCAAGCAGGGAAGTTTCTTGGTTTCCTATTGACTCATCGTGGCATTGAAGCGAATCCTGGTAAATGCTCCGCGATAATCAATATGAGAAGTCCGACGACAGTAAAAGAGGTCCAACAGTTGGCAGGGAGGATGGCTTCCCTCTCTCGATTTCTGTCGAAATTGGCGAAAAGTCATTACCCTTATTCCAATGTTTAAGGAAGAACGATCGCTTCTCATGAACAGACGAGTGTGAAAGGGCTTTCGGCGAACTCAAGCAGACTCTCACCTCACCGCCAATTCTTACCAAACCACAAACCAATTCCCTGCTGTTGGTGTACTTGTCGGCGTCAGACAGCGCCGTCAGCGCGGTCTTAGTGCAAGAGAAAGGTAACTCTCAAATGCCCGTTTATTTTGTTAGCAGGGTGCTGCAAGGAGCGGAGGTTTGCTATCAGAAAATCGAGAAGCTGGCATTTACCATATTGGTAACCGCGAGAAAGCTCAGACACTATTTTCAGAGCTATGAGGTAATAATCCGAATAGATTACCCGATCAGGCAGGTCTTGCAAAAGCCCGACCTCGCTAGAAGGATGATGAAGTGGTCAATCGAGTTGTCAGAATTTGTAATTAAGTATGAACCGAGAGAAGCCATCAAAGCTCAAGCGCTGGCCGACTTCTTAGTAGAACTGACCTCACTTACCGAAGAGGATTCTTCTGGAGAAAGTGAGTGGATCCTGTCTGTCGATGGAGCTTAGAACTTGGGCGGTAGCGGAGCCGGGATCGTCCTTGAGGGTCCTGGAGGCATACCCTTGGAACAATCACTACGGTTCGAGTTTCGGGCGAGCAATAATCAGGCAGAGTATGAAGCGCTATTGGCAGGGATAGCCTTGGCAAAGGAGATGGGCGCAACAAGCCTGTCGGCTAGGAGTGATTCACAACTTGTGACGGGGCAGGTAGCAGGAACTTTCCAGGCGAAGGATCCCCAATTAGCTCGGTACCTGGACAAGGTAAAGGTCATGTCGGCCGACTTCACCAAGTTTTCACTGAACCATGTTCCTAGGGAGAAGAATTCACGAGTAGATCTCTTATCCAAGCTAGCAAGCACAAAGAAGCCAGGGGCCACTCGGTCGATTATCTAAGAAACGTTAGCCCAATCGAGCATTAATGAGCCACTGGGGAGCGTTCTCTTCATCCAAGAAGAGCTCGATTCGTGGATGAGACCATATATTGCATACCTGACACGGGGGGAGCTACCAGAGGACAAAAGGGAAGCGTCATTGGTGCAAAGGGAGTCGGCCAGGTTTGTAGTCATCAATGAAAGGTTGTATCGAAGAGGGTTTAACACTCCTCTCTTGAGATGTTTAACCACATCACAAGCGTAGAGAGTGATGGATGAAGTGCATGTCGGCATGTGTGGGAGCCATATCGGAGGAAGAGCTCTAGTATACAAAGTCACGCGGGCAGGGTACTTTTGGCCGACCTTGAGAAACGACTGCGTCAATTGGGTTCAAAAATGTGATGGATGTCAAAGACACGCAACCTTGCACCACTCCCCATCTGAACGACTCAATTCAATCTTGTCTCCTTGGCCATTCAACAAGTGGGGTATTGATATTCTCGGTCCATTTCCGATCGCGGTGAGATAGTTGAAATTCTTGATAGTAGTTGTAGACTACTTCAGCAAATGGATTGAGGCGGAGCCCGTAGCAACAATTTCGGCGGAGAGGGTAAGGAAATTTTTATGGAAGAATTTGGTATGCAGATATGGAGTTCCCCAAGTGCTCATATCAGATAACGGGACGCAATTCGCGAGTGAGAGAGTCCGCGACTTTTGTCGGGAGATCGGTATCCGAATGACATTTAGCTCTGTTGAACACCCACAGTCTAATGGCCAGGCGGAGTCGGCCAACAAGGTTGTGCTATCGGGTTTGAAAAAGCGCGTTCAGGACTCCGGCGCCTCATGGGTAGAGGAGCTTCCCCGAGTATTATGGTCATATCACACGACTGTTCATTCATCGACCCAGGACACCCCTTTCAATCTAGTATATGGGATAGATGCGATGATACCAATTGAAATCGCTGAACCCTCAGTACGTACCACATGCTTCTCCGAGGAGGAATCCGAATAGGGAAGGCGAGTTGATTTAGACTTGATCACAGAAACAAGAAAGAGAGCAAGGATAAATCAAGTAGCAGCGCAGCGAAGGGCAGCTTTCAAGTATAATACAAAAGTCGTCCCAAGGGACTTCGTGGTAGGAGACCTTGTCTTGAAGCGTGCTCAGCTAACCCAAATGAGGAACAAATTGTCACCTAAATGGGTTGGCCCTTATAAAATTGATGATGTGGTCGGCAAAGGGGCTTACCGATTGAGGACGCTGGATGGAGGGAGGATACCGAGGACTTGGAATGCGGCGAACCTACGTTTCTATTATAGCTAGTTTATTCATGTGTATCAGGTGCACTCTTTTCCTAGCTCAGTATTTTTTCCCCATAAAAATGTGAGGGGTTTTTTGCTGAGAAGGTTTTTAACGAGGCACCGTCAATTAATAATTTCTCATTTTAATAAATATCATCCCCTAGTACTTTTTCATGATCATTAACATGTGTTATTTCAAAGGCACCAAACTCGTGATTGATCAGTAAAAATCTGACTGGGCGAGTATAAATAACTTGAAGACAAACTCGTGATTGATCGGTAAAAATCCGATTGGGCGAGTATAAATAACTCGAAGACAAACTCGTGATTGATCGGTAAAAATCTAACTGGGCGAGTATAAATAACTCGAAGACAAACTCGTGATTGATCGGTAAAAATTCGACTAGGCGGGTATAAATAACTCGAAGACAAACTCCCAAACTCAATCGGAAATTGGGCGACACCCGGAATGGTTATCAACTATTTCACTCTATATGAATCGGAAATAGAACGAATGTTGTCAAATTTTCTCGTCAACTTGAGTCAAATATTGGACGACTACTACAATTGAAATTCACTTTTAACTGGGGTTGTTCCCTTACCGTACGTGGGTGATTTTCTTTACTTCATTGAAGTCGGAATTTTGGCAACTAAAAAGGAACCATGTTATTTAACTCAGTCGGATTTTGGAGGATTTTGTTTCATTAACTGTCAAACAAGAATATTTTTTAAGAATCGACATGTGGCCAGCTTTAATTTTTAACTTAGAAATTTTCCATTGATTAAGTGAATCGGAATTTGGCTGACTGGCTACTTGAAATTTCGTTTTAAGTTAGAAAATTTTCTACTCATGATACGAGTCGGAATTGGACTGATTAGCTTCGTGAAAATTCATTTTAAACAGAAATTTTCCATTCATTATGTGAGTCAGAATTTGGCCGACTGGCTACTTGAAATTTCGTTTTAAGTTAGAAAATTTTCTACTCATGAGACGAGTCGGAATTGGACCGATTAGCTTCGTGAAATTTCATTTTTAACAGAAATTTTTCATTCATTATGTGAGTCGGAATTTGGCCGACTGGCTACTTAAAATTTCATTTTAAGTTAGAAAATTTTCTACTCATGATACGAGTCAGAATTGGACCGATTAGCTTCGTGAAATGTTATTTTAAACAAAAATTTTCCATTCATTACGTGAGTCGGAATTTGTCCGACTGGCTACTTGAAATTTCGTTTTAAGTTAGAAAACTTTCTACTCATGAGTCGGAATTGGACCGATTAGCTTCGTGAAAATTCATTTTAAACAGAAATTTTCCATTCATTATGTGAGTCGGAATTTGGCCGACTAGCTACTTGAAATTTCGTTTTAAGTTAGAAAATTTTCTACTCATGATAGGAGTCGGAATTGGACCGATTAGCTTCGTGAAAATTCATTTTAAACAGAAATTTTCCATTCATTATGTGAGTCGGAATTTGGCCGACTAGCTACTTGAAATTTCGTTTTAAGTTAGAAAATTTTCTACTCATGATACGATTCGGAATTGGACCGATTAGCTTCGTGAAATTTCATTTTAAACAGAAATTTTCCATTCATTATGTGAGTCGGAATTTGGCCGACTGGCTACTTGAAATTTCATTTTAAGTTAGAAAATTTTCTACTCATGATACGATTCGGAATTGGACCGATTAGCTTCGTGAAATTTCATTTTAAACAGAAATTTTCCATTCATTACGTGAGTCAGAATTTTTCCGACTGGCTACTTGGAATTTCGTTTTAAGTTAGAAAATTTTCTACTCATGATACGAGTCGGATTGGACCGATTAGCTTCGTGAAATTTCATTTTAAACAGAAATTTTCCATTCATTACGTGAGTCGGAATTTGGCCGACTGACTACATGAAATTTCGTTTTAAGTTAGAAAATTTTCTACTCATGAGACGAATCGGAATTGGATCGATTAGCTTCGTGAAATTTCATTTTTAACAGAAATTTTTCACTCGTTATAGGAGTCGGATTTTAGACGACTCCTTCATATGGTTGAGGTTGAATTTTAACTTGGTAAATGCACGATTAGCTACTCAATTCACTGTGTTAACTTGGAAAATTTTTCACATTATTTGATTCGGGATTTGGATGATTGCTCACACCAAAGTTCCATTTTCTAACTTAGACAAATTTTCCACCAAAAATTTGAATCGGGATTTGGACGATTAACTCTCTTAATTTCAATTTTAAGTTTGAAAATTTTCTACTCATGATACGAGTCGGAATTTGGCAAAAACGGTTTGCCAAATTGGTTTCACACACATTAGGCCATTCAATTTATAGCGAGAAAAATGCGCAGAAATCATATTAAGATTCGAAAAGTACCACATATTAAGATTCAAAAAGTACCACAATTGTTCTCAAAAACACCTAACAAGAGCAAAACCTCCAAAACAAGTACAAATCAGAGAAGTTAGTCATCCTCGGGGGGATCCACCAACTCTCCACCAATGATCTCTTTAAAGTACCCAATACCTCCAAGATCCAAGTCGGCATGAAGAAACTTCACCTACGCAGTCACCGCGTCAAAACCCACAGTGAATTTCTTCAAGGCCTCCACCTTGGCAGCATGAAGTTCGGCCTTCAAGTTCCCAATTTCGGTTTTGAGGTTGGAAACATCAGTTTCAAAAACTTGGGCAGCATCGGCATTCTTGTCTCGAGCCAGTCGAGTCTCTTCAAGTTCCTTCTCCATTCCCGCTTTCTCTTCGGCCCACACCTTTCTCTCACTCTCAAATTCTCGGCGACCATCAAGGAACTTGTCTCTCTCGTTGGTCACCCACTTCAAATCAGCTCTTCCCTTACTTAAGTTTTCCTCCAGGCTGCTCATCTTCTTCCCCTGAAGCTTCAGTTCTTGTTTCAGGCTCCGGACTTTGTCTTCGTTAACTAAGGAAAGAACGGAGAGTCGATTGTTCAGGGACTCGATGCCTTTCACAATGGAGAAGGTGCTCATCTTCTCCAAGTCTTCCTTGTCGCCCTCCAACAGGTCAGTCCCACGAATATGGACGGAGTGGTTGAACTTGTCGTCCTAGAATGAAGCACTCTTCCCCCTCTCGGCACCGCGGTCTATGGGCTCCCAATCCTCACCGAGACATAAACTCAAGGTCCTTTCGGCTGATTGAACCTCATTCTCTTCATCTCTTTCACCACCTCCCTCAGTGGCGACTAAAGTCTCCAGATTCACGACCGATATTGACCTATCGGCCTCTCGGTGATGCTTAAGTGAGGAAGCACCTGCTTTTTTCTGCTGAATGGGAACTCCAGACTCCCCCACCCTCTTGGCCGCTGATCCTTCAACCCCGACAGCTTTCGACGCTTCTTGCTCTTTCCACAATTTCCAAAGCTCTCGGTTACTTACGCTGGCCATGTTTTCTGCAATGATTTCAACAATACACAATGGGTTCACAATTAAATTTTGTTAAGTAAAGCAACGACAATAATCATAGAAAAATCATAAGTACCTATGTATGTTTTCAGTTCAGTAGGCCTATTTTCTAAGTCTAGAAGTTTGGCAGTGTTGAAGATGGTTTTGAGGTCTTCAAATTTTCTAGCCTCCTCTCGGTCATTTTCCGACAAGACATCAGCCTCTAACCCCTTAACAGACGTTGGTCTCTCACACCAATATAACGGGTATCCCTCGAGCAAACTCTCGTTGCCTGCCGTACAACGAATCCGGAAATAAGACCTCTTAAAATCCTTATATGATGACCGGAATAGGGATAACAATCCCTGACCCGTAACTCCACTCACCGACACCCAACTACTACGCTTCGTTATCCGACTCTCAAAAAAGTAAAAGAATTTGTTCACAGTCGGCGAAATCCCGAGTCCTAAACATAAAATCTCAAACCCACGAACAAATGCCCAGCCATTCGGATGGAGTTGGGTGGGGGCCACATTTAACATTCGGAGTACTCCTTTCTCGCAATCGGTAAGGGGCCACCTAATTTTAAGTTTAGAAATAAGGGTAGCATAACAAAATGCGAAACGCTCTAAGGGGGGGCGCTAGGGCCACTAACGCAGACAGGTTCCTTATCTACACATGGCTCGCAAATAATAACATTATCACCTACACTACATACTACATGCTCTCGGCAAAAGCCATCCATGGCAGCACAAGAATTCAGGGACGAATCACAACTTAACACATCATCTCTAACCCATTTATACAAATCTCCATAACTTACTCTGGCCATTTTATAAATAAACCCTAGCTTTACTAGCAACGGAGGGAGGATTTGGCTTCAAAATAAAAGCTACCAAGACGAGGGGATAGATGCGCGTACCTAGGGTTTTTCCCTCACCACCTTCTCCTACCCAACACAAGCACAGAACCGCCGCGCACCACCGCAGACCACAAGGAGGCAAAAACGATCACCGGAGAAGAGGGCGCGCGAAGTAGGAGGCAAAAATGAAATCAAAATTTGCCAACTGACTTATATTTATAGGGTTGAAAGGCCGCGTGTGAAGGGTAGGATCCAACAGTCACAACGCGCACGTGAGAGGGGAGACCAAAGGGTCACAACGCGCGTAAGACGTTGGAACCCCTAACCCTGGGGGGCCTCACACCTTTAACTTTAATGGCACACACCTCCACGTGGCACTGTCATAATTTACCTCCTGCAATGCCGGCTTTGCAATAAATGCATGACCCTTCGTTGGCCAGGTGAGGGGACATCTCTTGTCAAGTCTCGAGGATCCAAGAATCGAGGCGACAGGCGCACCAGCTATATCGCTTTATTCCCGAAACGGTCTATATGGGCTACACCTTAAGCCTCTTCGCCTTATAGCCTCAAGGCTGGAAGGCAAGTGGACCGTCCCGGTCGTTGTCCGACTGGTATATCCTACTCGCGCGACGCCTCGCGCGACGCCGACTACAACCTCGACCCATCCTTTCCCTAAGAGTCACTCGGTCGCTAACCGACTTAGCTCTCATACAAAAACCACATGCAAGGTATCTCGGTCTACAAGGGCTACACCTTAAGCCTCTTCGCCTTATAGCCTCAAGGCTGGAAGGCAAGTGGACCGTCCCGGTCGTTATCCGGCTGGTATCTCATATACGCACGAGGCCGACTACAAACGCGTGTACTGTCCAAGTCGAATTCCGATCTGATCTCTTCCCATATGGTCACCCAACTGTAAACTTGACCGACTCACTCTCTTAGAGTGAGTCGGCATATAGCCGGCTGGTTTCTTTGTCTAAGCCATATCGGCCTCATTCCAATCTCTCTTGCCTATAAGGACCCTCTCGGCCAACACCCAATTAGATCCTCGGAACGGACCTAGTCGGTCAAGACCCGACTTAATTTTCCCTTGCTTGTCAAATATCTTTGAAATAAGAACGGTTAATGAGATCCCCAAATTCTCGGGGCCCAGGAGGCCCACGAACTAGAAACTATAAAACCTAAAACCCTAGAATTAAGAGGGCAGATTACACTTTTGAATGCTCTAGCTTTGAGGCTTGACCTAGGAAGAAACCCTAGTCCACCCTTTGGCCGGAACACATGTAGTTACTAATTGTTAGAATCAAATGCTTATTAAGTGCCTTCCCAAAATAATATTTTGATAACAAAATTTATTAAAATCTTGTAATATAAATTTTACGAAATAACTATGTAAAAATTACATTTTGATTATCAAGCATCTAAGACTTACACAAAAATTATAATCTATCAACTTAATGTCTTTTATGCATAAAGCGTTTAACGTGCTCAACGTGTATATATATATATATATTAGAATATACAATTGTATTTATGCTGTAAATATATAATTTAGTTAGTTTTTATTTTTTTGGTTAGCCGTTATTTAGTTTGTAATTAGTTAGTTTTCTTTAGCCTTATGTATTTAAGGGATAGCTTGGTAATTTCATCTTCAGGTTTTTCTCATTCTCTATATCAGATTGCAACAATATTTGTTTTCTCTTCTTCATTCTTGAGTTATCATCATTGTGATAGCATCAATATGGTATCAGAAGGATATACTTACAATTCTTTATCCTTTCATTTCCTTTCATCTTTCTTGGACCTATGGTTCCTTGCTTCCATGGCAGAAACTACCAAAGATCCTACCTTAGATCCAACCAATCCTCTTTTCCTTCATCATTCCAATGGCCCTGGCCTTGTTCTCACCTCTCAGCTAATTGATAACAAAAATTACACAACCTGGAGTCATGCTATGTTGGTGGCTCTCTCCATGAAGAACAAGATTCTGTTTGTTGATGGTTCCCTTCCAAAACTTGCCGCTGATGATCCTACATATCCTGCATGGATTCGTGGGAACAATGTGGTTATCTCTTGGCTCTACAATTCTGTTTCAAAAGATATTATAACCAGTATATTGTTTGCAGATACAGCCAAAGAAATTGGGACGATTTAAAAACAAGGTGTTCTAGGAAAAATGGCCCTCGAATATTTCAGCTTAGGAGACAACTTATGTCTCTCCAACAAGGAATTGATGATGTGAGCACCTACTACACTAAATTGAAGTCAATTTGGGAGGAGTTATCGGGATACAAACCTCCTTTTTCATGCACCTGCGGTGGCTTGCAACATCTTCAAGACTACAATGAATCAGAATATGTAATGTCTTTCTTGATGGGGCTGAACGATTCTTTCTCTCAAATCCATGGGCAGATTCTTTTATCGGATCCCTTACCTCCAATTGGTAATATATTTTCTTTGATTCTTCAAGAAGAAGCATAAAGAGAGATTGATACTACTATAACTCATACTCCCTCTATAAACTCTGATAGTATGGCTTTTCTTGTTAATTCCTCTAACAAATATTTTGCTGCTAATCATAATAAAACCAATAAAAAGGAAAGGCCAAAATGTGCAAATTGTGGTATATTAGGCCACACAAAGGACAAATGTTATAAGCTCGTAGGATATCCTCCTAACTACAACTTTAAAAACAAGCAAGCTCATGTTGCAAATCAGGTTCTTGATAACCCCGAATCTTCAAATCATAACAATTCTAACAATTTAACACCTGCCCAATGCCAGCAATTAATCAATTTCCTAACCAATCAAATGAAGCTTAACAATCCTGTTGAAGTTGTTCCTACAAATGTATCAGGTATTTGCATGAATACTAGTTTATTAATGCATAATTCTAATTATAGATGGGTTATTGATTCAAGGGCCACATCTCATATCTGCTGTCACAGAAACATGTATCATTCATACCCTTCTTTATTTGATTCTTATGTTATGTTTCCTAACTCCACCAAAGTAAAAAATAGAAGGAATAAGAAGTATTCGTCTAAATCATGACATTCATCTACAGACACAATGTGTTATTCATACCATCATTTCGGTTTAATCTGCTTTCACTTCTTAAATTGATCAATGAAAATCAGTTTTAGTTTACTATGCAATCTAACAATTTTATGCTTCAGGACCTCACGACAATGAGGAGGATTGGCACCACTAAGCAAGACCAAGGATTACTATTTTTTTATTTTCCTAAGTCAAATTTTACTCTCAATACCATTGATTTTTGTAACCTTGTTTCATATGATATTTGGCACCAAAGACTAGGCCATGTTCCTATTAATGTGTACAATTTGATTGCTAATAAAATTGTTCTATCTTCTATTGATTCCCATTTTCATTATAGCACTTGTCAATTAGCTAAGCAGAATAAACTTTATTCCCTAACCCTAATCATTTTAGTCCTAATTTGTTTGATTTACTACATGTTGACATTTGGGGGCCTTTTAGGGAACATACATATGATGGTTTCAAATATTTTTTAACTCTTGTTGATGATAAAAGTAGGTTTACTTGGATTTTCTTATTGAAGAATAAATCTAATTGTTTTGTTGTCATACCATAATTCATATCTTATATTAAAACTCAATTCAAAATTAAAACATTCAGGTTAGACAATGCTAAGGAACTTGTTTTCACCGATTTATTATCTAGCAGATACAAATTCAGTCACAGGGCTATTGTTGCTGTTTTCCTTGGTTACCCCAAGGGATACAAAGGTTACAGACTCCTTAATCTTTCCACTAAACAAATCTTCATTTTTAGAGATGTCAAATTTTTTGAACATATTTTCCCGTTCAAAACCTCACATCAAACCATTCATGATAATGAAAATACAAATTCTTTTATTACTCCAAATATTACCAATTCTTATATATCAGATGATAGTGATGATCACATCCCTACTACAGCTGTTCTAGACACCATCACCACAATAGATACACAACCTCCAATTGAGGACCACCCTCCTCCTAGAAGATCCAATAGGGCAACCAATCCTCTAGGATACCTAAGTGACTATCATTTTTATAATGTCACAGATTCTTCCATCACTACATATCCTATCCAAAATTACCTAGACTATTCCAACATATATCCAATTCGCATAGACACTATATTTGTCAAATTTCAGAACATTTTGAACCACAAACTTATGCTCAAGCCATAAAGCACACATCCTGGCATAAAGCTATTTCTGATGAATTGGTTGCAATGAAAGTCAATAATACTTGGGATGTAGTGCCTCTTCCTCCAGAAAAAAAAATCCAATCAGCTACAAGTGGCTCTTCAAACGTAAATTGAACTCTGATGGAACAGTGGCCAAACACAAATCTAGACTTGTTGCTAGGGGATTCACTCAACAATATGGGCTTAACTTTCAAGAAACTTTTTCTCCTGTGGCGAAAATCACCACACTTAGGTTACTCTTGTCCTTAGCTGCATCTCAATATTGGCATCTAGCTCAATTAGATGTCAATAATGCCTTTTTAAATGGTAACCTTAAGGAAGAAATCTTTATGCAAATTCCTCAAGGCTATAATCACAATATCGTAAGTACCACACTGACTCCTCTTGTTTGTAAACTCAATAAATCTATATATGGCCTTAAACAGGCTTCAAGAAGCTGGATTACCAAATTCAACACTACCTTATTATCTTATGGTTACAAGCAATCAAAGTTTGATTATTCCTTATTCACTATCGGAAATATAAATTTTTTGACAAAGTTGTATCCGTCGGTAATATAACTTTTCCTACGAATTTTTTTTCTGTCGAAAATATAAATTTTCCGACGGATACAAATCCATCAGAAATTATCTCTCGGTAATTTACATTTTTCATGTAGTAGAATTTTAATTTATTTAAAATTTATATTTTATTTCTTAATTATGAAAAATTTTATCTAAAAAACTTTAAATAAAAATTCAAATTTTAACATGACTAATTTTTTTCGTTGAGGTCAACTCCAATTGATTATGGCTTAACAGTGTAATGTAGTAGGTATTTTAAAAGGTCATGGGTGATTTAGTAGTCCAGAACGGGTCGTTCCCAAACTGGAACGAGCTGTTCCAAACTACTAAATAGGCCTATGAATCTTGGACTGGAACGGACCGTTCCAAAATGGTCATTGTGAGTTAAATTCAACTCTAGAACGGGCCGTTCTAGTTTGAGAACAGGCCATTCTAAACGTGCCAGAATGGGCCGTTCTGGTTTCAGAAAGGGTCGTTCTGCATGTGAATTTTACACATGATGAAGGAGCCTAGAACGGGCCGTTCCGGATTCGAAACGGACCATTCTGGCTGTCTCAGATTTCTATAAATAGGACTTGTGGGCAGTTGAGGAGAATTCCGATCTTTGTTGTGAATAAGAAGAAGTACAAGGTGAACCTGATTTGTTTGCCTTTGGTGGATATTGACATAATCTTAGGGATGGATTGGTTGTCTGCCAATCACATTCTTATAGATTGTGCCAATAGGAGGCTGATTTTTCCTCAGATGAAGGATGAGCTGTTGATTTCAGCTGGCCAAGATGAATCATTGCTGAGAGATGGAGCAGAGTGCTGTCTTCTGCTTGTTGCTATGAGTATGGAGACCGAAAAGGTCTTAGCTGATATTGATGTGGTGCGGGATTTTGCTGAGGTGTTCTCGGATGAGGTGCCGGGGTTGCCTCCTGTTAGGGAGATGGAGTTTAGCATTGACTTGGTTTCAGGTGCGGGGCCAGTGTCGGTGGCTCGCTATAGGATGGCTCCTGTTGAGCTGGTTGAGCTGAAGGGTCAGTTGGAGGACTGTCGCCACCGGCCCGAAACGGGCTTTCGGCATTCGCGAAGGATGGTTGGACTCTTTTATTTGTTTAAAAATATGGATTGCTAGAATGACTTATTCTCAAACTGAGACCTTGTCAAACGAGCAATTTTATTAAAAGGCTCACCAATCCATGTTAATCCCAAGCGGGACCCTCCATGGATTAGCGGTTTTCATAAAAAGGAAGGGTTC